GTAAGAAAACCCGGAAGCCCAATGTACGGAAAAAGAGTTTGGGCGATGTATATCGTCATCACCTGAGCATGTGGTGGAGGAGAAATTTCTATTATCTTATTGGCTAACATGTGATTTGGAGGCGTGGCTTCTTTGATGGACTCACCCAGGCGCGAATGCCGAACTTTGAACTTTAACTTTGTTTACGCCGCGAGTTCATGAAAGTCAAACATGGAGTCTGAAAATTGGTAGACATTTTAACAAACTTTCAACAGAAAGGAACATCGAAATGAGTGCATACTATTGCAAATTAACTTCGTGTAGGTAAATAAGGTTCTTTACAGGCCTGTTGCGTTATTTATATTGGTGGTTTTTGTATTAATTTTTGTACAGCATTGATTGAAGTAGCCGGCAAAAACATCGTAGTAGCCGATCGAATGCGCCGGCTGCCGGCTCTTAAATAAACCCCTGTTGTCTCTCGGTGTACTGCCCGTTCACCACCGGAAGAACCCCACTGGAAATAAGTCTTCTATTAGACTTTCGTGGGCTATCCTTGGTGTTTATACCGAATATATCTAATCTAATCTAGTCTGTCTTGAGCTATTCGCATTATAAAGTATATAAATCTCTATTTCTTAGCCTTCATCTTATTTTTTTTCATTAAATTTACTTTTGCTCACCTTGTTCTTTTTTATCCTATCGTCTGTTTGTTAAATCGTCAAACCCCAGAGACCTTATTTATTTGCTCTTCTATAGTTGACCCATTATTATTAATATTTTATAAAAAAAAAAAAAAAAGAAACAATAAATAATAAATGCTTGGTAGGGGATGCAATTCAAGTTAAGCACTATGACCTGTTTCGTGTAAAGTGCCATGTAGCTTATTATTAATGAAAGTTGCACACTACGGTATTTATATATATGTGAGACTGCGTATGGTTATGAAATTGTTCATAATTTATGTAGGCCTCTCTGGCATTAATTTCATCACCATGGCAACTGAACATTATGTGATCAATAGGATGCCATTAGAGTAATAATTTCTCAATAAATAAATGTCACCCAGTTTTTACCCAGATATTTCTTTTAAGAAAGCAAATTTTCTTAATGCAATATTTATTTTAGTAAGTAAATAACTGCGATATAATAGGGAAGCCACAGATTGGAATGAGTTTTATTTCTTATCAAAATTTACAAATTGCAAATGTATCATGTTTTATAACCCAATATACGGTAAGCAAAGGCACTTTCTTGTAAACGAGACTATTTGAATAATTAAGATCTATGTTTTTTCATTTTGCAAGTTAATGGGATAAAGATATTGTGGAGAGTAGACCTCAAAGATGTTTACTAATGCCAAGTTAGAAGTAATTCTGTCTGTGGGATCTAGTTTTAAAAATGAGCTTAATGAGTCTGCATGATGATACACACGGCGCTGATTTCCATGAGAAAATTGATAATAAAAGTAGTAAAAACATGCAAATATTATGAACTTGAGGGGTGCAAGGGTTATTTTCTGGGAGATTTATGCTTGCTTCCAGGAGTGCGGGAGGCGGTCCCAATTTCTGCTAGACTCCCGCGACTTCCCAGAGACTGTCCCCTGCTGATGCTCTAAATGAAAGCCGATCAACCTTTATAGGATTTAGTGGTGTCAGACACCTTTTTCTTAGCTAGTGTTGCATTAATTTAGGCTCCTTTTTCCAAATTAGGTTCCGAAACCGACAGAGGTTCACAAGCCGTGAGGGTAATATTTCTGAGTTTATTAACAAAATTTAATACATTTTGAATTTCCTAAGGAAAATTTGTAGCCACTAAAGATTATGCAGTATTAGACAATTTTATGCCATTCCAAAATACAAAAATAAGTGTCTTCCATATAAATTCATAGAACATTTTCCTCACAGATGCATCAACATCAGTTTGTGACCTAATTTGGCAATGAAAGCTAAATCGGTGTGACACTGGCTAACACTCTACGATAATTTGTCGTCATCTTCATGACGTTGCTTGGATGAGAATAAAAAATAAACAAGAAGAGGTATCAATGCATCTCACCTTCACAACCTGATGGAGTGGAAAACCCAGGCATTTATTATCAAGTTCACACGTTATAAACCTTTAAAATTATATCTACAGTAAATCCAAATCAAGTAAAGAAACATACTAATTTTGCCTGTTAACTATTGACACAAGCCAATTTCAAGGTTGTCATCGTTATCAAAATCTATTATTGGAAAGCATTTGATAACTATCTGTCCATTTTCATGCCATGCTTGTAAAGAAAAGGGTCATTATTTCACCTGATTATGCTACATATGAAATGTATTGTTGTGTAAACATAATAATTGGTGTGCACGTTCTGGGGACAAGGCTATCTTTATATGTTGTAATTCAATCTGGTGCTCATCAATATGTGGATTACGTAAATGAAATCATACGAACGACAAACACAGAGAATTGAAAAGAACAAGAGGAAGAGTTTTCAGCATTTTTAGGCAACATTTCTCATACCTTGTTTGTGAACCCATCGATAATAAGTTCAAGTTAAAAAGACTGTTAGCTCACTCGTTCCCAAAGAAAAATAGTTTCAGAAAAAATTTTCTACTGGCTTGTCCCATTTTATTGTAGCATGATTATTGTTTCTATGACTATTAGACTGCACTGAAGTTAAACACTTTAATCCTGTAGTACATTAAAATCTGTTGTTTCTATACTGAATGGGTGGTCTGAATACCACCAATATCTTTCAACATTTCTAACTTAAAAATTTGTATGTTTACTTGTTCAACACATTTAAAATTTAACCTAAAGCATCAAATGCTACCCATCATTAAAATTTTCCAAAATTTTGAAAGACAATCTCGCTGTAAAAGCCCTCATTCTGCTCCAAAACGCCAAGCCCTCGGGTTAAAACCCGTTGGGTGTCAAAGTACCGCAATAACACTGCAAAAACATTCCTGTTTCTAGAATATTTATGGAAAACACAGGAAGTCTCTTGCATTGAAAATATTATAGGTCTATTAATATAAATATTATCTGGTGGTAAATCACTAGGGGACTGTACTCAGCTTGGGAGTGTGTGTTTATTGTTGATGAGGTAAGCAGCTGACGGTAGGTAAACAAAGAATGAGGCATTATGGGAAATATGCAAATTCTTGACGCCAAAAAAAACTTTTAACAATCTATTTGTCGGGTCTATTGCTAGAGTAAGGCTTGACTTGTTAAGTGGTTGTTGTAAGACCTGATTTTGATAAATTACGATGAAGATGAGCAAGTACCAAGGTAGGAGTACTAACTTTGAACCACCTTTCTTCAGTGAGTTTAATTTTTATAAATTAAGTGTCAATTTGATTAGGCCTATATAAAAAGTTATCTTCTTTGTATTGGGTAATATGTATGCTCGTTTTTAAGATAATTACTTTCTTTTTTAATTACTCATGACGATCAGACCAGAGGCTTTATAAAGATAAATGCAGAACTGACAAGTGAGAATGTGCAGATGTTTGTAGTCAAAATAAGAAAGAAGTAATTTTAATGGACTTATTGTATGAGCAAAGGTTGATAACAATAACTGTAGCATCAGTTTGTATGTAGAAAAATGTTTAATGTTTACGCAAGTTTATTGAACTTTTCCCCTTCTTTGTAGGTAGTACAGTAAATAATGTTTTCTTAGGGGTAATGAATGTAAAAAACAAATAAACTTAACAATTCACTGTTATTACAGTCAATTTATAATGGGATACACATTCATCATAATTAAGAAAATGAGATAATCTGATAAAATAACAATTTTATAATCAGGAAATGTGAATTACATAGTCTTACTCTAGTATAAAGTTTATGTTGAGGGCATTATACCGTAACATGAAGCAAGAATGAGTGTGGCATGTTGATAATGCTGCATAATTTGCAAACTTTATATCAGCCACAATTCTAGTTTACCAGGAATTCTTCACCATAGGGGTTTAGCATTACCGGTTCATTTCACATTCTCTTTGTCTCTCCTAATTCATCCAGTATTCAGTTTGACTTTTTGGTTATACTGTATTACCTTTCATATAGGCCCACACGTCTGCATGTGCAGTAGTCAGTACTTAAGTCGTGGGAGTGGAGTTTATTCCGGTGGTCAAAGTTTTATGATCTACTTTTAACAGGTGATGGGTCTGTTATAATGTTTGTCTTTGATGAGGACAGGAAGTTGGTCCTGTGGTTTTTATCCTCTCCTTTGGTTAGGGGAATCACTAGTCATAGGTGTCAGTTGGTTACCACACTGGTAGACTGTATACAGTAGTAGGAGGACTCTACTGCTCTCTTTATAGTCTGATAGAGCCTCTGTACTACTTCAAATTCTTTGGGAATTTTGTTGGTGATAAGTTTAAGGTTCATATTTAGATTTTGCTGTAGTTTATATTGATGATTATATTTTATGATACCAGTATCATTACATATTACAATTAAATATGTACCATGCATGCAAGGTACAATTATTGATTCTATAATTCATATTATTATTTTCTTTTCTAGCTTACAAGTTGTAAAGATATCTCCGAGAGGTGTCGGATAAGGGCAGCAATACGCAAGATGTCAAATGCCAGCATAGAAGCAGCTGCTAGTAAAGCCAAGATAAGTCGGGAACGGAGGAATGTGGAACCTCTGGAAGATCGGGTGAATAAACTTATGGAAGAGGAAGCAAAGGAAAGGGAGAAAAAACTGGAGAAACTGGAAGAAAAAATTAAGGGAATAACAGATGAAGATGATCTCAGATTAATGGTGAGTTAATTGATTGCCATTCCTCCCTCCCTAAATTTTTTAGGGCATGATTTAAAATGTATTTTAAAATTAACTTACTAGAGGTTCTTGGGGATTATTTGAAATGAAGCCAGTATATATTAGAAAATGTGGTAAAGTACTTCATACTGGTTTATTTCGGAAATAGGAAATGATTTAAGTGTTTCAAAATGCTTTAGAAATGATACATTACTTTGAATTACTGGCAGGCGTCCCAAGTCTCCCGTGTTGCAGGAGTGTCCCAGAAAAAGTCATGGTCTGTCGCACGTCCGCGAGGAAGCAATGTTTAAGTGGAATTTTTGGTTTCTCTTGGGCGGGCCATGGGTGTCACCACGTGTAGTACAATATAATGATATGAGAAAGCTTATTAAATCATCAGCTAGAACTAGAATAAAAAAGTTGTTGCATGGTTTGTCAGAATACATTTAATTTATGGAGATTATGATAGGCCTATCAAGTAAAGTATATCTTATTCTACAGTATTTTCCATAAGTATAAATTACTATCTATTGTAATTCTATACTTTCTACCCCTCTGCCTACCCATGTCACCCCATCATCTTGCATCCGATATAATTTACCTCTGTTTATTTTTGCACCCGTCATTAGGCAAGATGCCTGGAATCAGCTCAAGTTTAATAATGATTTTGTGCTCATGGCTTCCGGTGCCATGGGGCTAATAACATCACTTCCACCTAGTATCGTAAACACCAGCTATTGGGAAATATAACACTCCCGTGCTGTAGTTATTTTGCCATTCAGTTTTATAATTTCCGCTTTCATTCTTGATAAAAATGTTTCCCTGGGTCAATCCAAATCTCCTGTGACAAAGCTAGTAGGACAGGGGTCATTCACAATTAATATTTTCACAAGTATACAAGCAGTATGCTGTTTGGGTGGTGGGGAGGGGGTTAGACAAATTAGTACATTTTTACACATGAACATGAAATTGTTGATTCAAAATAAAGTGCAATATTTAAAATAATAGATTGTAATTACCAATTATAATACAACCATGAATATTATATGCAACTTTTTGTAACCATGTACAGTACTTTGATTGACTTCCCCAAAAAAATGGAGAATTGTTTTGCAAGATCAAGATTTTTTATGTACACTACACACTAGGAAAACTTTTTTTTTACAACCAAATATGTGTTTATGCCTAAAAAGTAGGAAATACACAAATAACACAACAATCTTGGATTACCAGCAAAATAGGCTAGCCTTGCCCCTAGCCTCGCCAAGGCTATTCCAGCCTTATTTTCTAATAAAAAAATATTGTTCATTGTCAAGAAAAAAAGATAAGAAAAAAAACTAAAATGCTGACCCCTAATTTTGTAAAATTTGGGTCGGTCGGGCGTAGCCAACGTAATATTTTTTTTTGGCCTAAGCATGAAATTGTTGATTCAAAATAACATGCAATATTTAAAATAGTTTTTAATGACCAATTATAATGCAACCATGGATATTATATAACTTTTGTAAGTACAGTACTTTAATTGACTTAAAAAAATGGAGGATTTGCAAATCAACATTTTTTTATGTACACTTTCAGGGCGGGAGGGAAGGAAGGGGGTACCGAATAACAGTACTGTTTGTACACATGCGAAAATGTTGGTCATTTTGAACTACTATACCCCTAAGATGCAATACGAAAAGTTTGAATTACTAATTTTCAAATGCATGAAAATGAAAGCATTTTCAACAAGTGGTAGAGTATCAGGAGATGCTTAGTGATTCGATGTTGATATTGTGATGTCTACCAACATAAAGTAATTAGCATGCAATAAAGACTGAAGAGTCTACTACATCCTGGTCACCCCTGGGGATTGTCCATGGTCACATGGTCACAATATCATTATAATTACACTTGAAAGGTCTCTTGAATTCTCTTAACTTGCTGTTGAGTAAATGGTTCCTACAGTAGCTGCATAATAGAATTTATTTTCACTTTGCTGTTTGCCTATATTTAATTTGAGCTATATGATAGCCTTTTAAAAAAAAATTTCGCTAAACTGACAAGCCACAACTTTTTTTGATGCCTATGTAAACAATTTGTAATATGTAATTTGTTGTGGAATTTTTCTGAATAAACTTATGTCAGTTTCTTTGATTTTTCCCTTATATGCACTATAGTTTAATTATTTATTATATTAATATTAATATTGATAATTATCCTATAGGGTATACTGTTGGATAATTAATAAATGTGATAACACATTAATAAAATATCACCACCAAAAAGAGGTCAAAGAAATTAACATCACAATTACAAGGAAAAAGGAACGTTCTGAAAGCCTTACTTCTATATAAGTTAAGAACCCAAGGTTAAGGGTGCCATGGAATAATAATATAATTTAATTTGCTGTTTTGAAAGCCTTACTTCTATTTAAGTAAAGAAACCCAAGGTTAAGGGTGCCATGTAATAATAATATAATTTAATTTGTTATTGAGTATGTGTTCCATATGTGTTTGATCCAATGACCGGGGTAGTAATGTGAAGCGCTTAAAGGGCATTGTGCATGAAGCACTATATAAGAGTGACATATTATTATTATTATGCCGGCCGGAGAAAAAATAAAATTATCTGAAAGTGCCATTCCGGCATCTAGAGGTGCCATAATCATAAAGTTTTTTTTTCCTCAGCCCAAACCAAGGTGGGATGGAGATGGATGGACCCTCTAAGTGTGGCGTCCCTGGCCCTCCTATTTCAAATTCTTGGATCTGCCACTACCAATAATAATAAATACATCTTTGTTGCAAGTGAAACAACAGTATAATTATATTCTTGATTTAAATTAAGGAGAAAATAATACCTCTCATGGAGGCCTACTTACTGAAACAATAGAACAAGGTAATAATGCATGAAACACCTTGTACATGATCCCGTGGTGTGAGTAATGTATCAATATTTATCATGCAGACAGTGTTTTAAAATAGTAATGGATGACATTCACCATAGACAAGCTGGAAAAGTTACATTTTTTATTGTACAGCATAGCCACTTCAATTATAAATAAATTATTAGATTTTAACAGTTAACTGGTAGATGAACCTGTGCATAACATCAAAGTGTTCATAATATCACATTCAGTGTATATTTAGAAACAAAATAACATGGTTTCGTATAGATATTTGCTTTATTCAATATCACAAATTCTGAAAATAGAAACGAGATTGGAAGCCAATCTCTTGGTATCTAATTACAAAGCAGATTTTTTAATAATTGAAGATGACTTTTTAGTAAGAAACTCATAGAAAAGGGTATGAGTATGAGTAGTCATATGAAGGTACTATAATTATCCCCGACAGTTGGCTATGCAGCAATGTACCCTTTGAATGCAAATTGAAGACAAGTGAAGATATAAAGGCAGCCGACTGTCGGGTACATAACTATTTAACTTTCCACAAAAACATTAGGCCTACGCTAGGCCTAGTTCAGTACAGTAGTTACTGCGATGCGAGGGTGGTAGATCGTTCAGTCAGTGATATCGTGTTATCGTCTAATACATTTTAATAATGTGTGTAAAATTTAAGAATGCACCGCGTGGGTC